AATCCAAAAATACGATTGGATGAAGTGAAAATATACCATCCACAATAGAACAATAGTAAAAAACTCAAAAAAAGGCATACACGATCACTACAATTTCGTCGCATGAAAACATTTCTTGGTTGATGACTTATTGGTGATAAGAATAGATCCCGATAGAAGGTTCGTTGATAGAAAGTTGTCTGAATAGGCATAATCTTAATGATTTTATGTGTGTGTGTGTTATTACTGGAAGCGTAAACGCATGTGCAAATAGAAGGTAGAATCTGCAAAGAGAAACAAAGTAAATTTTTGTGTAGGTAGTTTTTTTTTTTCTTTGATTGTTTGAGTGTCTTTACGAAAGCAATGATTTGACACATGGCATAGTTGTTCAAATTTTTGCTTATCTTATTTTCATTTTTATTTCATTCAATAGCTCGAATTAATCTGATTTACTGTATATTTAAATTAAATTTTTTCTTTTTATTTTTGAATTCGTATCTTGAATTATCATTTCATGATGATAGAACAACGAATATTTAATATCTATTTTTGATGTTTTCTTTTTGACTCATTCATTACTTTGGTAAAAGAACAAAATATGCATGCTTACGAAATTGTTATGGCTTGATTCTTTCGTTCTGCTTTTAGAGACTAGCAAACATATGTATATACATTTATAATCATATGCCGAAAGTTTTCTTTTCTCTTAAAATCTATCTTGTTTTTTTACCGAAAACTGGTGTTCTTTTTCCTAAGAAAATTATATTCATCTTTGATTTTCAATGACTCAAGAATGCCATTTTAATGGATATTTACATTATAAATGATTAGTGTTTGCCTATGCTGTTAATAACTTCAAAACAAATTGTATTAAAAAAATAGAACAACATAAATTTTATAATATTCAAATAAAACAAAAAAGATATTTTTATATATGCCTTTTTTTTACTTTTGGAACAGATAGAATTCTGAATAACGGATTTTTATGAAAGAACGAACAAGATTATGTGGGTTTGTCTTCTTCAATTATGTAACTGATTTCATTTCCTGTGTGCTGCATTGCACTTGTTTATAGATCATGTCATTATTTAAGAAACCATTGAACTTTCGGTTTTTTTTATAACTATGCAATTTCTTATTCACTTGAAAGTACGAAGGGTGTAGATGTGAGTTTCCTTTGATTATCTTGAATCTCATGAAGCAATCCTTATTTCTATTTTTTGTAGAACATTTTTTTACACAATTTATGATTTGTTAGTGAATCATGTACATGAAATTTTGTCTATTGTTCTCATATAAACTTGCTGCTCACGGTACGATTTCACATAAAATAAAAACATTTCATAGTTTCGAAACAATATCATTCCGTCATTGATCCTTATAAATACAATTTATTCCAAATATTTGAGATTTTATATTCTCAAAAGATTTAAAAGATATTGATGAAAATTTCTTGTCTATAATGTACAACTTGTGTGTGCAGCTTGTATGTATTATCAATACGTGTGAAAAGAGGATTATAAAACATGTTTTTATTTGAGTCCCATGTTGAAGAATCTATGATGTATTATCCGTTGTTAACATAAGATGAAGAGTTCTGATATCCAGAAATATCAAATGAAATAACCAGGAGAAAACTTTCATAAAAATTTATGTCTGTGTTTTGAGAAACAAGCGCAAAAAATTAATTTGAATACAAAGAATATAAAAATTAAGTGTATATTTCTAGGATTAGGATGAATCAGGAAACTCATCTTATTACTGTAGGGTGTGGATGTAAGTAAAGCACTTGTCTTCGCCAACATACATCTCAATTTCATGCCCTAAACCATATTCTATATACTTTTCATGATAAAATAAATTCCTAAGCACTACCCAACACTAAACCAGGAGTTATATACCTTCAACAGAATGTATAAAAAGGAATTCCATCTCTAGATCATCGAATTTTAGTCCGAATTCTTGCAGTTGTGTGTTTTGCTTGTTTCATTCATTCGATAATGAATATCCAGAAATTGAACTTTTCGGGGAACTTGAATTTACCATGCTCTTCAAATCGAATGGGTTACTCTTACGCTGTTTAAATGAAATTTTATAACGCAGAATAGCGAACAAGAAACTATTTATTTGTCACTATGTCAAATTCAGAAAAGTATACATTATAGTCAAAAAAATTTAGAACATCATATGATTAGGTCGTAAAACTTAGACGGGAATCTCATCAAATGTCCTTTTTCGATTCCAACGGCTTTGTACCTATAGATATCATATGGTATTCTAACAAAAGTCATTAAACGATTAGGATTTCTATTGAAATTTAATTAAGCTATCAAATTTTGAATACATCTACTTTCTTGAAGCCTTACGCTTTCGGAAAAATCGTATTTTCGAAATTAGATCTGAAACTTTGCGTACATATGGAAAATCAACTAGATTGGCTTCCATGAAAAAAAAATTCACAACTTTTGAAATATTTCTCGTCGAGTTATGAGACTTTCAAGATATAGAAACATTTTCCATAGATAGTACATCCAACATGCTTTTTTGGAAAGGTTCATATCTCGATGAGACTGTGTTGAAAATTTCTGAATTTTTTTATCTGAGCTAATCTAAATGAATTCTTTGTATGTATGAAGTTTCAAATCAAAATTCGAAAACCTGGAGCATTTAAAAAAAAAGCTCGATAGGTTAGTCTGATCTCAATAGGAATCAAAATCACTTTCGAATTTGTATTAGAACACTATATAGTATATATAGGAAAAAAAAATCATTGACATCACAAGGATACATCTGAAGACGTTTTCTCGTTAACAATCAGATAATCGTCGGTTAGCTGCATGTCATAAATTGAATAGTTTTTTATAGACAATAAAGATAAAGATTTTCATATTGAATGCAATAATAATACCTGTCAGATAGAACGTACAGAATTCATTACAGATTCAATGACTTAATATTGAATTATATTCTCATGCACTGACTTTTTTTATCAATATAGTAACATTCGTATTCTTACGCATCAATGTTTCTACCTATAAGATAAAAAAAAATCTGATCAGATTTACAATCGGATAAACTCAGATTATAATAGAAATTACCAAAACAAATGCTGATTATATTTCGGATAGAATCCTATTCAAGTCATCAGAAATAGACCAGAGTAACACTCATGTATGAAAAAATAAACAACAATATTAATAAACAATTATCAGACAAAATAGCCTAGAGATAAGTATTACTCTTGGACAAACACTAAATAATATAAAGGAGAAAATACTTAGTAACTGAAATCAAATATAACACACATGATAATAGCGATACATCTATTAATTTATGTCAAATGAGAAAAGAAATAGAAATTATTAAGTCATTATTGAAAATTACAAAAATTAACACAAATATATCTATTTTGATTCTCGATCAGTCTGAAAAATAAAATAAGAAACAAACAAAGTCAAGATTAACAATCAATACGTTGTATGTATTTCAGTTTCTGTTGATCTATTTCGTCAGATAAAATAATATTCAATGTAGATATTCCATAAATAGAAAAGTTTGTTTTTCTTCCCGATGTTTTTCTCTTGTATACCATATTAACAAGCACTCGCATTGAATTAACATCCTTACAAAGATACAATTCATTTCAGTAGAAATGATTAATTATTACAAAAGTGATTTGTATATGAAAAAAGTTTACACAATGTTATTGTTAATAGAAGAGTAATGACCTCTTCTATCTAATATCTTGAATCGTTTGTTGCTATTAACATATTCTAAACAAAAAAACAATATCTGAATAATTTTCTTACATAGTAATATCTACATGATCTACGTAGTTAAATAACAGAAAACATGAAATCCATCATAAACTATGAAAAAATTCTTCATGTTTCATTAAAATTTTCAATCAATCAAAGAATATTTTCTCCTTTAGTTTCGAATTCAAGTTTATTGATCGGACAAACAAAAATGTATGTCAATGTATAATAGATGCTATCTATCAAGGGCAACATCATGGAAATATTCTTATTGTCATTCGAATTTTAAATCTAAAATATTTTCTTATTTAGATAGATTTTTTTTTTAAATATTAGTTTTCAATGACAATATTTATTTTTCTGTATTCTTACGAGAATTAACGTCTATGCTGCATAAGCAAACAGACACATCTTATTGATCATGATTCATATCATCTAATATTTCACTTGAATTATTTTTATCTTCCATATCTACCGTCGACCATGCTAGTTAAGCATATAGTTAGGGTTAATAAAAAATAAAATTGTTATATCATTGGATAATAATATTATTAATCTCTATTTTTTTTGTTCGAAAAAAAAAATATTAATAAAATAGATGATCTATTTCTTGTTTAATTATCAAAAGAACATTGCAGATCTGTAAGTCTTAATCATAAGCACAAATAACATGACACATGTAGAGGTCATATGTCCCGTTGTTCGGAAATGCTAGTGCTAATCATTCACAGTACGTTTCTTTTTGCTTATATTCTTCTATTTTTTTGCTATATATGTCGCTTCTCTTTACAATATATGAGAAAAATATATCTATGAAGACGAGTATAAAGGAGGTGTTGTGGTAGAATGTTGTTGTTGCATATTTTTTCTTCCTTCTTGGTAGACGATGAGTTCTCTAGTGTGTATACGAATCCGTTCGCTCTATACTTTTCTGCATCAATTGTGGAAGAAATATCCACCCTAAGAAAAAAAGAAATATATAACAGATTTGCTTTTTAGTCAACACTCTTTGGAACTGCTTTCCTTATGCATTATCTATACATATAGACAGACAAAAGTAGAAAGAGGAAATAGCATAAACGAGAACGAGAAAAAATCATGTGTTGATAAGACAAACCGAACAACCGTTCTCTTCTCTCATCTATTTGGTTTATTTGTAGGAAATCTATTTCTTTTGTTTGTTGGTCGGATCTTTGGTTTGTCTTTTTTTTTTCTTCACAATCAATCGTCTAAGAATATTTAACTATATATTTTGTTTGAAAAATGGCTACACACTATATTGAAACTGAACAAGGTGGCAATCAATATTATTTTGATGGTAAGAGTAATGCTACTTCACAAGCACAAAGATCAACACAAGATTCATCGTATGCTGTACCTGTAGCAGTTATTACAACAGTTGGTTCAAATGAAAATATATCGCATCCTGTCGGTGTTTCAGGCTTACGTTCACAACATCAACAAATTCGTTCAGACCATAATGTACATGTTGAAGGCGATTCATATCAATTACCACAACAACATCAATCTGTAGCCGGCTTTAATAAAAGTGTATCTCAACAACAATATCAAACTGCTCCACCATCTGCACATCAAGTCAAAGCTACTGTACGAACAGTAAATACTCAAGAACAACAACATCATGGATCATCCGTTCAACATCAACAACAACAACAACAACAGGCTTATGGAAATTACGGACAACAAACTTCGCCACAATCATCACAAGTGTCATCTCAACATCAGCAATATCCATATGAATCGCGTCAACAAGTCGGACAGCCAACAAGTGTTTCAGGTTATTATCAAGCACCAAGTTCTGCTCAACATACACATCAAGAAGTAGATCATCGAACAGAAAGTCCATCTCGAGGTCGTGATCAACATGCACAGGTACTTGTATATTTCACTTTTTTTTTATTCTTATAAAAATTGCAAGTGTAATATCAAGTACATTGATGTACTAGAGATAGACGTTAACGATGACAGATCAATGCTCTTTTTTATCCAGTTTGGCAGTATATCTCGTTCGCTAAGCTGGATATTCTCATTGCTTCATCAAGTCCAATTAGTAAGCCACTAAATGAGTTTGACATTAATAAGATTCATATTTGCCAATAAATCATATGAAATCATCGCTTTATTTAATATTATAATAGGCTCAACCAGTACCAGTTCGAACAATAACTAGTAATCCACATCAACAATATGAGAATGGTATTAGTTATCCACAACAATCACAACAATCACAACAACATTCAACCTCTCAATCTTCGAAACAATCACAACAACAGCAAGAAGATCAACTTCAACAATATTATAGTCAATTGACTCCCGGTATATATATATATCTTTATTTATCTATCTATCATACTGACCTTATCTTTGACTCACACTGTGTGATAAAATTGATGAGAAATAATATCAAGTATACAACCTTAATATATATATATGTATATCGAATATTTCTAGAACAATATCAACAATTGTTACGTCAACAACAAATTCAAAGACAACAACAAGAAGAACAAAAACGGCAACAACTTGCTCAACAACAATATTTTATAGAACAAGAACGACAACGTACTGAACAACAACAACAACAACAATATCAGTCAAGTCGTTCAAATCAAGAACAACAACATCGACAACAAGGTCTTACACGAAAAATGAAATATAAATTTCTTATATGTTCTAATTTTTTTTTTATTATCAATTGCAGGTCAAGACCAACATGATGTATATCATTATCGACCTCAACAAGTTCAAACGACTGTTTCATCTAATGTCAGTCAGGAATCTTATCGACAACAACAGCAACAACAACAACAACAACATCATGGTTTGATAGAAGAAAATTTTTTTTTTATACAATAAATAATTCATCAAAATTTTTTGTTATTCAGGTCAACAAGGTCAATCAGATGCTTATTATGAGCAGCAACGTCGAGCTACTGCTCAACAATCACCATCATCATCTACTTATCAACAAGAACAATATCGTTCGACAGTTGGTGTTAGTGGAGGACAACAACAATATCAACAAGTATCTCCAAGTCAACAACAACATGTTCGAACAGATTCGGAACGACAACGTCAAGACGAGCAAGGTACTAGTTTTTTTTTGTATTCTAACATTTTATTAATCCCACATGAAATCTTAACATAACAAAATATGTTTCCTTCGAGAGATATCATGAAGAAAATTATATTTATGATAATAATACATCTAACATGTATGTCTGAAATATCTTTTTTTTTGTCTATAATAGAGTATTATGCAGCTCAATTGGCTCGTCAACAACAACAAGAACGTGAACATGTTGCTCAGTTAGAAGCAGCTCAACGTGCTCAACAACAAGAAAGAGAATATGCTGCTCAAATTGAAGCTTCTCAACGTCAACAAGTTACTTCAAGAATTCAACAACAGCAATATCAAGAACAACAACAACATCAGCAACAAATTATACAAGGTCAACAAACTGCACAACCAGTTGGAATTCGAGTTAGTAGTTTCTTTTTCTTTTTTAATTATTCTTATTATTAAAATTATTTTTCTTTAGGGTCTTATGAGTAAATTTACTGGTCCAACAACAATCCCAACATATGAACCAAAACCTAAAAGTAGCACAACACAACATTATTCAACTTCGAGTTATACATCATCAAGTGGACCAGGTCAAAAAACAACAACAACAACGACTCATTCTTCAAAAACACATTCAATGACATATTCAGCATTACCAAAAGCTAATGAACCACCTGTAAATAGTGCTGAATATTATCAAATGTTACAACAAGGAAATCTTAGTAATACATCATCAAATGTTCAACATTCGGCTGCTCCACTACATATTCAAGGTCCTCCACCTGGTTTTGATGCATTACGTAATCGTTTTAAAAGTGGATCTGTTTCTGAAAGTATCAATCCAATACAAGACATACGTCAACAACACCAATCAAATACAGGTAATAGTAGTCTATTGTCATTACGTGATCAATATATGAATCGAGCAAAAGAATCAGCACAAACTCAAGAAGAATCATTCTCACAGAGAATTCAAACTGTATCTCGATCAACTGTTATGACAGGTCAATCTTCACAAAATCAAAAACAAACATCAAGTGTATTACAAGTTTCTCAACAAGATGAACCACAATTACAAAGTCAAAGTATTAGTGATCAAGGTGTTTCATCTGAAGGTGCTGTTGCTGAAGGTGGTTCATCATCAGGTGCATCACCTTTTGAAAATGATGCTAATTTAACAACAACTATGACTACATCAGCACACTAATCAAATTAATTTTCAATTTGTTGCTATATTAATATGACAAAAATATTTATTCTCTTCTCTCTTAATTTCTTTTATTCACCCTAATATTTAATAGAAATTGAATACTAACACATATATTACTACTAATAAAAGAAAAAAAAAAGAATGACAAAATATTTGTTTATGTAAGTTTCTTCTTTTTTCCTAGCTCAATGATGTTATGCATCAGCACATATGCCTTTTTTTTTCTCTCTATCCTATTTTTCTTGAACAACCCTACCGAGAGTATGCATGGGTGTGTGTGTAAAGCGTTCAATTAGTTATATGTTTGCTTAAATCTTTTAAATAAATTTTAACTTTTATTCATTATTATTACAATGTCTTTGAATGATGTTCAATATTGAAATCATGAGAATTAAATATATTCTTCCATTTTTTTTTACATTTTCTTCGACTGAACACTTTTAAGTAACTAACATAAATGACACTTGGAAACAGTATTCTAGGTCAGAAAGTTTCTAAATATTCGGGTAGTTTTTAGACAATTTCTAGTCCTTTTTTATGAAAAGAAAACCAGAAGTCACAAGAAAAATTCAGAGACGTTCCAACATGGAATACTATTTTCAATCAACTCTCTAGTGAAATCTGTTGATTTACGAAGGTTGCAATCATCAATATGAATATTGGTGAAGTCCGGTTTAACTCTTGACACAAAACCACTACGTGTTACTCAATTTTTATAAGCAAGGAAACATATTATTTTGAAAAACATCCTTAGATTATATTGATATCGAAAGGTAAAGTCACAAAGTTATGTGTATATCGTTATTGACCTTCACGCACATCCTCATAATAAAAATAGGTCTCAATTATACTAATATTACGAATCTTTTTTTTTTTAGTAAACTTTTTAAAATATGTTATTCTCTTCACATGTTACAATAATAAGAATTATATCAATATTTTTGAAAAAAATTAATAGTCTTTCATAAGTAAAATTTCGACCGAACATTCATCTTTTTCTAAAAAAAGAATATTTAAAAAAAAACTAAATTCTATATATTTACAATAAAGGCCTGTTTCATAAATTTAACAAATTTCTTTTCTGAAATACATTTTCCTTAGCAAACATGAAAAGATGATATTTCTAACTGTATAAATTACGTATTGTATTGAGAGTATACTTAGTTCACAGGTACTTTGCAAAGGTTAAATATGCTATCAATAAATATACCGATGATCTGTTTCCAATATATTGATATGTCCTGAAGGGAACCCTCCCGCTCTTTCGAACTACCTTTGATTCTCGGCAAGAGTATAACTAATCAAGCTCACATATTTACTTACTGAAAATGATAGGACATATGTTCTAAGAGAAAATTTTAAAGTCAGATATTCAGGGATTTTTAAAAGAATCTTTAAAAATCATTGGAGCTGCACACAGCTTCAGTGTTACTTTAATCGTTTAAGTTTAAATTATTGTGTACGAAACAATCTCTCAAAAAATAATTTTAATTGAGTTTTTCTTATAGAGTAAATACTCCGATATCTTTTATTGTAAAAAAACATAGATCCTCGAATTTATATTCTTGATCATATCATTTCTTTTTCCTCGTCACCTTCAAGATACACTTAGGCACACTCTTCTCTTCTATTTTTGGATACGATAATCACATCCTCATGTGTATATAATGTGCCCTTCTCCTTCGGTGAAAATTGATGACTGCTCTTTGTCAGCATCATCTCTTTCCTTTTTTTCCTGCTCATTGCACGTTTGCTCAAATGGATGATGATGTAATGTCAAATTCAATAATACAAGAAAAAAAAGCTCAACGTGATTAAAATGTTATCATACTTCAATAAAAATCAGATTGAGTTATACACCAGAGAAAAGTTAGAATCATACTGAACGATTTGAATTGTATTTTTTTCTCACGGGAACAACTTTTTATCTCATTTTATAAAGAATATCCTACTTTTAAATGAAAATAAGACAAACAATGTTTGAACAGGAACTTTTAAGATTGTTTATACGAAATAGTTCTATATTTTCTTTTAAGAAAAATTAAAATAAATATTAAAAATTGACATTTAATATTAATCTCTTTCGAAATAGTCTGTTATGAAGTGTCAAAACAATTTTATCATTGTGTCATTTATAATAAATTTTATTTTCTTTTTCTATGAATTTCAACTTCAATCATTTTGTACTAATGGTACCGGCAATAATTTCTAAGTAATGAGCAATAACTATTAAACAATTAAGTGATAGTCACACCATGACAGTAACTCTTGCATAATAAATTTTTGATCAAAGGGCAATTTGTCGTATGACCCTGTTCTAGTTAAGCCACCGTTTCGTACTAACAGAGCAAGAAACAAATCATTGAAAATTTCTTCAAAAATAACTCATTATTAGCTATATATATAAAAACAAAGTATGACATGAACTAATGAAATTCAGTTTGGCTGACATCAACATTGACTCATTTCATACCATAGCTAAACATGTCTAATTTGTTTATCTTTATTTCGTCATAGACCATAAGAATGAATTTCTATACTTTTTCATGCACTAGTGACATCTATATCTTTCGAGAAATATTAGCAATTATTTATTAAGTAGACAAGTGCAAAATAAATACTTTTACTTAATACATCAAGTTATTTGCATGCTTCATTGGTATAAATTTCTATAGGATAAATGATTAGCCTATTAGACCAAGTGTTATGAAAGTGCAAAGTAAAATAAACCAAAAGAAATTTCGACAACATCAATATATATGTTAGCGTCCAATGTCGGATTCGGTCCAATCGCAGATTTGCCTAGGCCAATCTCAAATTCTCCTATTGGACGTCCAATAGGAGAATTCGAGATTGGTCTAGGCGGAACTGAGATTGAACTGTATCCGACATTGGATGTTAACATATATATACATATATATATTTGTCTTTTAGTTTTGTAACTATTTCATAATAAAGCAGAGATGGAAGATTTACAAAATCTAGAATATCTCTCGCTTGTATCAAAAATTTGTACGGAACTGGATAATCATTTGGGTGTTAATGATAAAGACTTGGCTGAATTTATAATACATATGGTTAAAACAAGTGATTCATATGATTTATTTCAAAAGAGATTAGCAGAAAATGATGCTGATTTTCCTGATTCATTTAGTAGTAATCTTTATCGAATCGTTCAAAAAATGTTACCAACACCATTAAAAAAAACAACTTCTGAAAATCATAATGAAACAAAAGGTGAACAATCACAACAATTAATTGATGTTGCATTACGTCGAGCAATGTGTCCATTTTTAAGTAAACCTAATGATCCAACTGTGAGAGTAAGTTAATTTAAAATTCTTTTTTTGTATAGTAATATTGACGTATATGTTTATTTATAGACAATGCTTGATGGAGAAGTGAAAGAAAATTCTGTAAATGAAAAAGATAAAAAAGTTGTTGATGATCTTATGGATGAATTAGAAAGTTTTGAAGCTAAAGCTAAATCTGGTCAATCAATAAAACGCGATGATGAAGATCAACATAAGAAAAAGAAAAAACATCATCATCATCATTCACCTGATTCAAGAAATGATCGAAAAAAATCTAGGTATGATATTCTTATTCATATTTTAAAGTGTAAGATGTGGATTATAATACGAGAGAATTAAAGAAGAAGACAACAAGACTCGCATTTGTGAAGAATTTTGTCATGTAGTTCAATATATCGATATCATATTTATTAAGTTTTGACTGATTGAATATGGTTCTGTCTACTGTAAATTTTACTCGGAATTCTCAGCAGTGTTCACAGTTTCAGACAGGAAAATTTCAAACATTTGTGTTATAAGTCGTTCAGTACTTCCCAAAACAAAAAAATGTTGCAATTTTCGTAATTCTATACTTACTGAAATTATCGTAATTTCGAATATTTTCTAAATAGCTTTGATTTGCATTGCTATATGATTAACGAGCTTCTGGAAGTTTCAGAAATTTTAGTAATTTCATTTTTTTTCAGAAATCTGAAAATACCTTAATTTTGAAAGAACTTTCTCAATGATGTAAACTCGACTATATTATCAAAATTCTATAGAATCTTTCATTTTAGTTTTCTAAATTTTTCTTTAAAATGTTTAGTCATAAAGATCGTAAACGTCGTCGTCATTCTTCAACTGGTTCTCATAGTAGTAGTCGAAGTAGTAGTAATAGTGATCGTTCACCTTCACCTTCACCAAAACATCATCGGTCATCAAAAAAATCTCGACATTATGATCGTAATGAATCTCCACCACGACAAAAACGATCATCATCTATTCCAGATAAACCAACGGTTGGTTCAATTTATGATGGTATTGTTATATCAATAATGCAATGGGGATGTTTTGTACGACTTGATCAATTTCGTAATCGAACAGAAGGACTTGTGCATATATCAAATATTCATAAAGATCGAATTAATAATGTATCTGATATTGTAAAACGTCATCAAAAAGTTAAAGTTAAAATTCTTTCATGTACAGATACTAAAATGAGTTTATCAATGAAAGATGTTGATCAAACAACAGGTGAAGATTTAAATGAAGATTTAACAAGAAAATTACGTGGTGAAATAAGTATTGAAAATGATCGTAATCCCGATGGTCCTATTAATTATTTATCAACAAATCGTTTAAATTCACGTGATTCAACAATGATACAATCTATTGAAATTAATTCTAAAGATAATAAAGGTAAAAGTTCACGACAAATATCTGATTATGATCAATGGGAACTTAATCAAATGAGAAATGCTAAATGTATTGATGTAACACAATTACCAAATTATGATGAAGACACAGGTATATTACCAAAAGAAGATGATTCTGATGGTGAAGATTTAGAAGTTGAATTAGTTGATGAAGAAGCACCATTTCTTAAAGGTTATGGTAAACAAAGTATACAAGATTTAAGTCCAGTTAAAATAGTTAAAAATCCTGATGGTTCATTACAACAAGCAGCTATGATGCAAAATGCTT